GCCGGGTCCCAGGACGAGAGGGGGCCCCTGAACCGGGCGCTGAGCAACACCTCCGGGTAGACGCACCCCGGCTTCTCCGTTCCCCCCGGAGGCGAAGGTAGGGCAGCAGCCGGCGCGGAAGCATCTGAAGGCACCGTCATTGAAATGCAGGTGTCCGGCCCCAGCCTCAGAGCTCAGGCCGAGGCAGGGCCCGGGAATCTGCATTTTAAAGTGCCCTTGGTGACTCGGTGCAGCCTTTTTCAGAAACATTTAAAGCGGCCTTCGTGAGCTTTGCTGTGCACGGGTCACCTAGGATCCTGCTCAAGCGCAGCCTGACCCAGCCGGCGGGGAGGGGCGCTGAGATCCTGCATTTCCAACAAGCTCCCGGAGGCCACGGACATACCTGGGGCAGTGCGGGGCTAAGACCATGACACCTAGGGCAGTGGGCTCCCACGGCACACAGGATGCATCTCCCTGGAGCTCAACTTTACCAGATGATGGGGTGTGTGTATTTTCACATTAAACCAGTGGTGTATTTTTGGAGAAAGGTTTGGGGAGCACTGTTCCAGTCTTACCTCTTCACTTTACCCATGTAGTCAACGTTTATTGAGCTGCTTTATCCCACATTCTTGAGGGATAGGTCCTATTAGCCCAAATTTTTACAGATGTGCAAATTGAGGTGCAGGGAGGTCAAGTAACTTGCCCCAAGTACAGGGTCTGCATGCTGATCACTAAGCATTACTTGTTCAATTACTGTTCAGTAAGCGAAAGAACACCCTGGCATACCCGAGGTGATTAAGATAGTGACTCTGGGAGCCCCCACCTCTATCTCTGGCCCAGCATTGTTCAAAATCCTTACCAGGTGGAAAAAGCAGAGGGGTATCATGGCCAAGTGTTTGGGAAACCTAGGCTAATCACAGCGCAGTGGGCATCCTCACTGGTCTTCTCCACCTTTAGCATTGTAACGTGCAGAGCGGCTGCCCAGATCACAGCACGTGTTTCTTAGCTAATGTGACCTCTGGGTGCATGCTCCATGGCATGGCATGTGGGCAGTGCTGGTCATCCCAAATGTCTGCAGCATTCACCTCCCAGCCACACAGGGGCCGGGCAGCTATCACTCCCACCTGCAGATGTGAGGGGTGACTTGTATGTCACAGCATGCCCAACACACCATGTCCATCTCCTCTACCTGCCATGGATTCCAGGTCAAAGACTGCTATCAGGACCTGGTGCAGAGCTGGTGACAGTAAATGTTTGGTGGATGAAACATTAGTGGGAGAGGCAGGATGAGAAACTCTTGGGACCTTGACCCAATGCTCCTTGTGCCACCCCCAGGCTGGGGTCCCTGAAGGCTGGGCGGGCAAGTTTACTCATTCCCAGCACCTGGCAGGGCCTGGCCCATGGCAAGTGCCCAGCAAGCGGAACAGCAGATGTACAGCTGATAGCACAGCCATCCCACAGTAACACCTCGCCCAGGTTCCCTCCCACCCTGCCCCGCTTTACTTGTAGCACTTTGCCACCTGACACACAGTATATTTTACTTGTTTATTATGTTCTCTCCATAAGAATGGAAGCCCGAGAGCAGGGACTTTTGTCTGTATCCCCTGACACCTAGAACTGTGCCTGTACACAGCAGGTGTTGAATAAATATTTTTGTTGTAGACTGCATGGGCATGAGTTCATCAGATCTTTGGGGCTTCTGCAGAGGGTGGTACAGGGGACGGGGCTAGAGAGGAACCCTGCTCCCCGCAACCTCCCATTTTCACTTTTTGTGTTGAAAAGTGGGTGGAACTGGATTCAGTGGGGGTTCAGTGGGGTGCAGAGGTATGCAAAGCAGCCTTTGGGAAGGTATGGGGGAGCTGGGTTCCTGACTGCCGGCCTCCTGGTCTAGGATGCACCCAGGACCTTGAGACAGAACGTATACATTTGGGGGAATCACCCTTCAGGCACCAGTTCCCTGAGGAACCAGAAGAATTGGCCCTCCTTGGTTTGAAGGCACTTGGACAAGGGGGAAGGAGAGAGGAGGGAGCAGAACCTCTTCTCCCAACCCAGCCCCTAATTTCTGCCAGGTCTCAGGCTCCCTCTGTCTCACAAACACCTGCCTAAGAGGCTCTGAAAGGCTCAGAGCCCCACCTGGAGTAGGGTCCCTGTTTTGGAGCCAGAGTTGGAGTGCCAGGTCCAGCAGAGGTGTGTGACCGGTGGCCCGAGGTGCCGTGTCTGACACGGTAGTTGGCTACGGGAGGCCTCAGGCTGACCTGAGCTCAGACCTTGGCGGCCGGCCGCTGGGGTGGCTGCTTCTGCAGGAGGGCCAGGGTGTCCCGCTTCTTGATGGAGCGCAGCTGCTTCTTCTTTGCCCGCTTGAGCTTGGCGGGGTTTCGGATCTGGGGGGATGAGGGGAGGCATTGATATCGTCAGAGTCTCTGTCCTGTTCCCCAGGGAAAGGGAGTCCTGGGATCTCAGCAGGACAGCGGGGGCAGGAGGCAGGGGTGTGCGGGGGCATCTGGAGCGCACCCCCAGCCCCCGGGCAGGGTAGGGCACCACTCACCACTTGGACTATCTCTGCCTTGCGCTCGTTCTCCAGGCGCCGCCTCAGGTTCTCCGCTCGGCGCTGTTTCTTTTCCTGGGATGCACAAGGGAGGGGATCTGGGTCTGGGAGCTGACGCAGCCCTGGTCTCAGCCCCAGAGCAGTGAGACTGGCAGAATTCCAAGGGAGGGGAAGGGCCCTCTTATCCCAGGTCCTGGTGGGATGTGGGTGGAGAGCCAGGAAAGAACAACCCCTGTGCCCATGGGACCACCATGGTGGAAGGTACTGACTCTACCTGAGCAAGTGGGCATCTGGTCAGGCCGCTGGGGACAGAGGCTTAGATGGGGCTGGGGAGACTCAGACAGGGGTGGCTCCCCGCTGGGAAACTCAGGCACACGTAGACAGTGGCCCCTGGTACCACCCTCCTCATAAACTGCCAGGGGAGAAGGGGTGGGCTGGTCCCCTCATTCCCACCTACCCTCCCCATGATGTCCATGTGCCTAAGTGCAGGGCTGGGAAAGGTGGAGGTTGCAGAGAAGAGGCTCTAGTTCACGTCCTGACTCTGCTACTTCCTAAATGGGGTGACCTTGGCCAAGTAGTTTAACCTCTCTGTGCTTCAACCCCTCATCTTTAAAATGAGAATGATCACATAAGCTAGTTTTGAGGAATAAGTGAGTGAATACATGTAGTGGGCTTCCAATGTTACCCGGCCTGCGAGGAGCACTTAGAAGATGAATGCAGAGGAGACTGCCTTGGGAATGGGAAGCCAGTGACTTTCTGGCTCTGCTGATTGCTTTCCCTGCTGAATCAGGGTGGGATATAGGCTCTGAGGTTGCTGCATGACAGAGGCCTCTCTTGGCTTTGGTAACTTAGTGGGGAAGGGTGGACTGGGCCCTTGGTGAGAAATGAGAAGTGAGACTTGGGTTCCCAGCCAGGGGAAGGTCTGGGCTGGGGGCTGGGCAGATACACCTCTGAAGGGAACAGTGAGAAGGCTGGCTTGCCCAAGAGGGAGCTGGGGCCGCAAAGGAAGTGAGATAAAGCCTCAGCACCAAGCGGCAGCTACAACTTCTACAGCACCTGGGGCGATTCAAAGCAGGGGACAGATGACTAAGTGATGACCCATCCCTTCCCTCAGTGGCCAGGCTGGGACCACAAGGATCACTCCTCCTGTGCCCTTGGGATCACTAGGTGAGCGATGTCCCAATGGTAACCCTGATCCTGGCGTGGCAGTCATCAGCCAATGCCAAGGCCTCACTTTCTGTGTGGCCTGCTGGGCTTCCTGGGGAATGAAGAGGTTGAGCGTGAGCCTCTAACGGAGCATTTTGGGCCCTGGGATGTGTATCAGGGAGAAAACCGGAGGAGGCACAGGCACCCACTTTGCTGATGTGTGGGAGCCACCTCTTGGAGAAGGAGGGCAGCAAGTCCCGCTTCCCGGGCGCCTCCCCATCCCTGAGACATGTGCAGAGCCCTGGGCTGACCGGGATGTGCCACTGGCCTTCCCTACCCCTTGGTCCCAGACTGTGCTCCTGCTTCGGGCCAGGCTCCCGGCCTCCCTGGCACCCGCAGGATCTAGAAGGGCCAAGTCAGCCTCCCCAGGACCTGTGTGAGCCTTCCCTTCCCCCCCAGCCTATTGCAGGGCCCTGGCTCGACCCCTGAGCTCCAGGCTCGGCCCGGCCCAGCCGGCGCCCCACCTGCCGGCGCTTCTCCTTCTCCTCCTCCAGGTGCCGGGCAAAGTCCTTGGCCAGCTTCCTCTCCTGCCGGTCCCTCATCTTCCGCTGCCAGGATGTGCGCAGGGGCTTGTCCTGAACCATCTGGGAGAACCTGGATCGGGGAGAGTGGGTGCTGGTGGAGCCCATGGGATGCACCCGGGCCTCCTCTCAGCTCCGGGCTCTCTTCCCGAACCCAACCAGAATCATCTCGTCACCTGCCTGTGTGCCGGGCAGTCGACCCTCCAGGTCTGCAGAGACTCGGGGTAGGAAAGGGCTCCGATCGAGCTGGCTGCCGTTTCTTAAGCCCTGACTACGTGCCTCTGAGGTGGGGGCTCTCGTTCTCTCCATTTTACAGAGGAGCAAACCAAGGCTTGGGGAGGTTAAATAATTGCCCAGGGGCATCCTGTTCCCAAATCCCTGCTTGTGACCACAGAGTCCAGGTCACACAGCCTCTGCCATAAAGCCTTGCTGCTTTCCCCAAGAGCAGTTGGCCAGGGCACAAATGCCCCTGGAGATGGGACTTATTCCCTGCTGGGTGGCATGAATGGGCACAGTTCTCCGTCATGATTTGGAACCTCTCTCTCCAGTAGGGAAATGTGAAAATGGAGTGGGTATGGAAGATGTTCAGTGGAAGTCTTGATTTTCTGAAGTGTGATGGTGACATTATAGTCACAGGAGGAAGGAGAGTATCTCTGTGAGAAGGCTCACTGCAAAGATGTAAGGGTGCAATGACATACGCAGGGTGTGCTACAAAATATCCCAGGAAAAAAAAGAAAGAATAAAATATCAAGGACCTCTACATTTATGCTGTTCAATAAGGACTCCAGTAGTCACATTGGCTGTTGAGCATTTGAAATGTACTTGGTGTGACTGAGGAAATGCATTTTTAAACTCTATTTAATTTTAATCAATTTAAATTTAAATAGCCACATTTGGCTGTGGCTAAGGTATTGGGGCAGTGCTGTTCCAGAGCATCAGTTTACCTGGAAACTGAAGGAAGACAGGCGTGGGTTCCAAGGCCTGAATCAACCATCTATGTAATGGGGGGCAAGGTAGCCTGAGTCTCAGCACGTTCACAAGTTAAATGGAGGTGAGAATTGTTCCCATTCCAAAGGGTGGTGGGAGGATTAATTGAGACACAGCTGAAGAAGTACTTAGCACAATGCTCTGCACATAGTAGGTGCTCAGTAAACACCACCCTTCAGAGAAGGGACCTGGCACATCCATGGAGCACACTGTGCAGAAGCAGGCATTTGGCAGGAGCACAGGTGGGGCTGCAGCCAGGCCTTCCCAGCTGTGACTGCTTCCCTCCATATCCCCCCTTTGCTGGAATACCTCCTGGAGCTGGTGCTGCCTCCACTGTCTCTGGGCTCACTCACAATCCACTGAAGTTGCTTCCTCAAATATCCCAAGCATCAATTCAATGACCTCTGGGCCATTATCCACAAGATCTGCCAGCAGCCTCTGAGGGTGTTTTAATTCTAGTGCAACAGCCTCCTTACCGGTTTCTCTGCTTTCACCCTCCTGCTTTTGGACCGCCTATGGTCTCTTTACCCCTGGTTTCTCTGCAGAACGTCAAGATAATCCTCGTATGTAAAATGAGGCTAAATCTGCTGCTTCACAGGGTTAATGTGCAGATTAAACGCCATGATGCATGCTGGTCCCTGTTTGAAAGGCTAGTTCCCGGCCAATTCTTACTACTAAAGTACTTAGCACTGTCTTATATACTCAGTGTTGGTAATACTTTTTATCACAAAGGTTAATAACTGCAATAGATGATGGTGGGTGAAGACAGATCTCACTGCATTTTATCAAGTAATGGCTGGTTTACTTGCTTCTGCCTCCCTCATCAGAGGGGGCAGACAAAGGTAAATGGCTGTTGAATGAATACTGAGGGTATGAGGTGCTATAGGAGAGTACACAGGGACCTTGAGGAGGAAAGCGGGACAGACATAACTATGCTGTCACCCTCCCTGGGGTCCCAGAGCATTTTACCACATTCTGATTATAATTCTGATTACCCATTTGTGTGAGCTCTCTTCAGCCCAGGGGCTGTTCTCCAGGCTGCTCCGGCGCCCCAACGCCACCGAGAACCCCCCTGCCCAGCTGCCCACCCCCCGTCCCCACTTCACCTCTTCTTGGAGCGGTCCTTCCACACCCGTCCGGACTTGGGCTTTCCCTTCGGGATTGTAGGAACCTCCAACTCCTCCTTCAACTTCTTGGGTGCTGGGGCCTGGGGTGAAGACCTTTTTCGCTTCTTTGGCCAGAGGCCGTCTCTCCCCAGCTCCCCGGCAGGAGGTGGCTTGCTCGGCCCGTGCTGACCCCGGGAGGAGCCAGCTGACTGGGGTGTCAGCTCCTGTAGCGGCGGCGACGGCTCCGGACCGGGCGCTTGCTGACCAGGATAAGGTTCCGGTGATCCTGGGCCCGACTGCAGCTGATGTCGGAGGGACCCCCGGGCCGGCTCCTCCTTACTCTGGGCCAAGTCCGCGTCCGGTCCTTCTCGGCCCTGGAAGAACTTTGCTGACTTCCCAGTTGGCTTTGGCTGACGTCGGGGCGACTCAGGACTCGACTCTGGCTGTCTTCGGGGAGACTCCAGGCCTGGATCTTGCTGACCCTGGGGGGACCGTGGGCCCGGCTCCGGCTCCCTTCTGGGAGAACCCAGGCCTGCCCCCTGCCCTAGACAGGGTGATCCCGGGCATGTCTCCGGCTGGCCTCGGGGGGACTCCAGGCCGGGTTGCCGCACCAGCCGAGGCGAGCCGGGCTGTCTCATTTCCTCCGGGTTCGATTCGAACTCCACAAGGACCCGTCTCGGCCGCAACACTGAGGCGGGGCTCTCGGGAGGCTCAGCCTTTAGACCCTCCAGCCGCCGGCTGCGCCTCAGCGGCGTATCCATGGCCCAGCCTGTAAATTTCCCAGACCCAGGCCCACGTGCAGCCTCTGGGACAACCGGCGCCGTCCTATGACGTCAGGAGGCGCGACGCCCGCGCCCGCGGGGGGGCCGTCGCCAGGGCGACCCTGCGGGTTTCAGGCGCGGAGGCGGGGTTAGCGGCCTGAGGGGCATGCGCAAAGCCCTGCGGGCGTCCCCGGGATCGCGTCCTGGCTTCAGCGCTCCTTTGTCTTCCCTGCAGCCTGGGGCGGCGGGCTGCAGGCAGAGAAGGGAAGAGAGACCCATTTCCCGGGGAGAAGAGCCTTGGAGGAAGACCCAGGGAACCCGTAGGCAAGGCTGGGTGGAAGCATTACCGCTGGCTCCCTCCTGTGCAGTTGGGTAGGGGTCCCTCCCTCTCTGGGCCTCAGTTTTTTCCATGCGTAATGTGGGTGCTTTTGCACTAGTGTAGTGTATCTAAAATGACCCTGTCGGAGTATTCCCATCTGCCAGAGTGAACGTTGCCTGGCAGATCCTGGAGGTGGGAAATCTAAAGTCTTGAGTTACACGTTGAATGTGCACACCCATGCCTTCTCTTCTCCTGCCCTGTGCTGAAGTATCAAATTTATGTCTCTCCCTTTTCAACATTTTCAGCATTTATGCATGAAGTTGAGGTGCTGGTAAGATGCACCCCTTTTGTCTTGGCACACCAGGGCCCTCAGCCATGCTGCATACCCTCTCGGGTGCCACTGTTGGCCCCGTTCTAGAAACAGGTTGGGTGGCCTCTGAGCTTCCTTTCAGGCAGACAGCGCTCTTTGTCCCCGTGTGTGAACCTGCCTCAGCCTCTTCTTTGCTTGAGGCCCAGGGAGGGTTTTGAGTAATTTCAGCAGGAGCCTTTCTTAAGGAAGAATATCTTGGAAGCTGCCCAACTGTATCCCAGCTCTTCTCCAGTGTTATTCTTAGAGCTGCCTGGGAATGGCCCTCTGGGATCCCAGGGCCCCTGTTCCACTGTCCCAGTGGCTCCTTTTAGAAATCATTGTTTCTCCATCAGAGGGGTTGTGAGAGGGCCTGGGAAGTTGTCCAAGGATGTTCAGGGGCCAGAGGGGGAAGGTCAGGGCAGACATCCTGGGCCTCAGCGCTGAGCACAGCTCCCACCTGCTGAGTCACTCTGCAGTGTCAGGTGGAGCCCAGCCTGTCTTGACCGATGGTCAAGCAGATGAGCAGGTTTCAGACAGAGTTCCTGGAGGGTGAAAAAGTGGACTGAGAATTGAGTAACACCTCTCACTTCTTGGCTGGGGCCACACAGCATCCACAATGCATCCTGATGAATTCAGCCTGTTGCACTCACCTCCCTAAGGGTAAGGTGATGGCACAGTTTCTCCAATGTCCCTCCATGTCTTCGAAAATAGCTGCACCCTTGTGCTGTTATGGTGTGTTAGTTCCTGCCTTCTTGGCCCCTCTCAGGCTCCATCTGCCAGCTCAGTGCCCTCATGATCCTGGGCCAAGGAAGGCCCTGCGGGGAGCCTTGGCCTCAGTCCCCTGCGGAGCTGTGCAGCTCCCCAGCGCAGAAGCAGCACACCTATTCTGGCCCAGCTCTTCTCGCCCCCAACTCTTGGGTCCTTAAACTCCTGTACCTTTTTGGAGACCCGAAGGGCCAGCCGCTGACCAGCGTGTGTTACTAGACTACACCACCCTGCCGCCTCTGCCCTGCATCAGATCACCTGAGCGCCCTGCTTCCTGAGCTCCTGTCCTCAGCTGCACGGGTGGCTCTCAGATGCCCATTGGATCATATCCCAGTCCTGCTTAAAATACTTTAGAGGGAAATCTCAGGTCCCTGCCAGGGGGGTGTGAGAGGAGATGTTTTACAGACAGGGGACCTGTGGGTGTCCCTCGAATCAGGTGTGGAGACCCATGACCAACATAAGCATCAAGTGAACTCTGGTCCAGAAGCCTCTGCTCCCCACCTGAGCTGTTTCTCATTGTTATTATAAGTGATGTGCAGGGGCCCATGGGAGACACTTGATTTTTTCAGAAAAGCCTGGTGTGGCAGTTGCTGTTGGGACTCTGTTCTCTTACACTCCTTTGCTTTCTACTGCAAGTATCCCAGCCCCTTACCCTGGGGTGGAAGGATACTGAGGGGGTTTTCTGCAGTCCCCCGGAGAACCCAGCGAGACTGAGCCCTACTTGTCTACTAAGGTAACCTGGTCATTCGTGTACCCTCTTTTGGCTTCTTCCCTGTCCCTGTCTCACTTTCTCACTGATAAGTTCTCACTGGGGTCATTTTGTGAGTGGACTGCACTTAGATCCTTGTCTCAGTCAGCCCTGCAGCAACCCCCCCTAAAAAGTGGGGCAGACAATTACTGGGCCAGGCATTCTTTCAAGTGCTCAATATGTACAAACTCAGTAATCCTCACAACAAGCCTGTGAAGCAGGTGCTATTGTTATGACTCCCATTTCGCACATAAAGAAACTGAGGCACAGAGAGGCTGGGGCACTTGTAAAGGTCACACAGCAAATAGGTGGTAGAGATAGGATCCACACCTAGCTGCCTGACTGCAGAGCCAAAGCTCTTAAATCTCCCTGTTCTCCCAGTAAGGAAACAGGCACAGAGAGGCTAATGTTCTTGCCCAAAGTCACACAGCTACACGTCAGAGCCGGGATCACAGTTCCAAAGCCGCCATGCTTAGCTGCCTTGTGCCCCTCACATGGGCCTCAATCATCCCTTCCTCACACTGACCCTGGCCCGTGCACTGGGAGGTGCTGGGTGCCATGTCGCCCCGTGTGCCAGCTGTGGCTCTGCATGCAAACACACCTGGCAGGATGCTGAATTGGCAATACCGTCTTATTTGTGTAACCTGAGATCTGCTGACTGAAGGAAACCCTGAGCCCACAGATGACCAAAGATAAAGATCAGATGTTCTCTGAGCCATTAACACTTCAACAAGCCAAGGGTGTTGTTGAGGGCATGAGAGTCCCCAGATGACAGGGGCCTGCATCCCCTTGGCCCTCAGGCACCCAGGTTGACTGCCCCGCAGGGGACCCAGGGGGCGTGTCACTGTCCCACTCCATGATTCTCATGGGTGAGACCTGCTTCCCCTTCCCAACCGGGAGCCAGTTGAAACCCTCAGCCTGGTTCCAGCCACCGATGCTGGATCCGGTCCCGAGCTGTCGGTTTTTCTGGACAAGCGCAGGCTTTGTCATCTGGCCTTGCTGCATTTTGCTTTCACCTCTTTGGAGTCTCAGCTCTCTCTCCTTCAATAGGTGAACCCCCCCCTTTCCGTGTATGAACAGCTGCTTCTAGGTACCTCGAATCAGGCCCTGCTGAGGACGTGCGGAGGGACCAGGGCTAGCATGTCAGTTCTTATCTTGAGCACTTATCTCCAAGGTTCATCTTTTCTTTGTGTTACCAAGTGTTCAGGATGAGTCTTGTATTCTGAGGAGGGGAGAGACCTCAGCAGAGGGCATGGATGGGAGTGAAACCTGGGACCCGGGCTGCCAAGCCTCCCCGCTGTCCCCACAGGGCATTGCCAGGGTGCAGGGAAGCTGACCTCTTTGCACAGCTCCGTGTACCTGCAAAGCTTATCTCCTGATCCCCTCACAGCATCTGCAGGTTTTGCTGAAACAGGAAGGGGACAGACCTGCTACCCACCCCTCCCCTCCC